TAGTTGTACAAAGACAATGTAAGTGTAAGGGTTGGTAGTTGTACATAACCAAAGACAATGTAAGTGTAAGGGCTGGTAGTTGTACAAAGACAATGTAAGTGTAAGGGTTGGTAGTTGTACAAACACAATGTAAGTGTAAGGGTTGGTAGTTGTACATAACCAAAGACAATGTAAGTGTAAGGGTTGGTAGTTGTACAAAGACAATGTAAGTGTAAGGGTTGGTAGTTGTACATAACCAAAGACAATGTAAGTGTAAGGGCTGGTAGTTGTACAAAGACAATGTAAGTGTAAGGGTTGGTAGTTGTACATAACGAAAGACAATGTAAGTGTAAGGGTTGGTAGTTGTACAAAGACAATGTAAGTGTAAGGGTTGGTAGTTGTTCATAACCAAAGACAATGTAAGTGTAAGGGCTGGTAGTTGTACGAAGACAATGTAAGTGTAAGGGTTGGTAGTTGTACATAACCAAAGACAATGTAAGTGTAAGGGCTGGTAGTTGTACAAAGACAATGTAAGTGTAAGGGTTGGTAGTTGTACATAGACAATGTAAGTGTAAGGGTAGGTAGTTGTACATAACCAAAGACAATGTAAGTGTAAGGGTTGGTAATTGTACATAACGAAAGACAATGTAAGTGTAAGGGTTGGTAGTTGTACAAAGACAATGTAAGTGTAGGGGTTGGTAGTTGTACAAAGACAATGTAAATGTAAGGGTTGGTAGTTGTACATAACCAAAGACAATGTAAGTGTAAAGGCTGGTAGTTGTATATAACCAAAGACAATGTAAGTGTAAGGGTTGGTAGTTGTACGTAACCAAAGACAATGTAAATGTAAGGGTTGGTAGTTGTACAAAGACAATGTAAGTGTAAGGGCTGGTAGTTGTACAAAGACAATGCAAGTGTAAAGGTTGGTAGTTGTACATAACCAAAGACAATGTAAGTGTAAAGGTTGGTAGTTGTACAGAACCAAAGACAATGCAAGTGTAAGGGTTGGTAGTTGTACATAACCAAAGACAATGTAAGTGTAAGGGTTGGTAGTTGTACAAAGACAATGTAAGTGTAAGGGCTGGTAGTTGTACATAACCAAAGACAATGTAAGAGTAAGGGTTGGTAGTTGTACAAAGACAATGTAAGTGTAAGGGCTGGTAGTTGTACAAAGACAATGCAAGTGTAAAGGTTGGTAGTTGTACATAACCAAAGACAATGTAAGTGTAAAGGTTGGTAGTTGTACAGAACCAAAGACAATGTAAGTGTAAGGGTTGGTAGTTGTACAAAGACAATGTAAGTGTAAGGGCTGGTAGTTGTACATAACTAAAGACAATGTAAGTGTAAGGGTTGGTAGATGTACAAAGACAATGTAAGTGTAAGGGCTGGTAGTTGTACAAAGACAATGTAAGTGTAGGGGTTGGTAGTTGTACATAACCAAAGACAATGTAAGTGTAAGGGTTGGTAGTTGTACATAACCAAAGACAATGTAAGTGTAAGGGTTGGTAGTTGTACAAAGACAATGTAAGTGTAAGGGCTGGTAGTTGTACATAACTAAAGACAATGTAAGTGTAAGGGTTGGTAGATGTACAAAGACAATGTAAGTGTAAGGGCTGGTAGTTGTACAAAGACAATGTAAGTGTAAGGGTTGGTAGTTGTACATAACCAAAGACAATGTAAGTGTAAGGGCTGGTAGTTGTACAAAGACAATGTAAGTGTAAGGGTTGGTAGTTGTACAAACACAATGTAAGTGTAAGGGTTGGTAGTTGTACATAACCAAAGACAATGTAAGTGTAAGGGTTGGTAGTTGTACAAAGACAATGTAAGTGTAAGGGTTGGTAGTTGTACATAACCAAAGACAATGTAAGTGTAAGGGCTGGTAGTTGTACAAAGACAATGTAAGTGTAAGGGTTGGTAGTTGTACATAACGAAAGACAATGTAAGTGTAAGGGTTGGTAGTTGTACAAAGACAATGTAAGTGTAAGGGTTGGTAGTTGTTCATAACCAAAGACAATGTAAGTGTAAGGGCTGGTAGTTGTACGAAGACAATGTAAGTGTAAGGGTTGGTAGTTGTACATAACCAAAGACAATGTAAGTGTAAGGGCTGGTAGTTGTACAAAGACAATGTAAGTGTAAGGGTTGGTAGTTGTACATAGACAATGTAAGTGTAAGGGTAGGTAGTTGTACATAACCAAAGACAATGTAAGTGTAAGGGTTGGTAATTGTACATAACGAAAGACAATGTAAGTGTAAGGGTTGGTAGTTGTACAAAGACAATGTAAGTGTAGGGGTTGGTAGTTGTACAAAGACAATGTAAATGTAAGGGTTGGTAGTTGTACATAACCAAAGACAATGTAAGTGTAAAGGCTGGTAGTTGTATATAACCAAAGACAATGTAAGTGTAAGGGTTGGTAGTTGTACGTAACCAAAGACAATGTAAATGTAAGGGTTGGTAGTTGTACATAGACAATGTAAGTGTAAGGGTTGGTAGTTGTACATAACCAAAGACAATGTAAGTGTGAGGGTTGGTAGTTGTACAAAGACAATGTAAGTGTAAGGGTTTGTAGTTGTACAAAGACAATGTAAGTGTAAGGGCTGGTAATTGTACAAAGACAATGTAAATGTAAGGGTTGGTAGTTGTACATAGACAATGTAAGTGTAAGGGTTGGTAGTTGTACATAACCAAAGACAATGTAAGTGTAAGGGTTGGTAGTTGTACATAACCAAAGACAATGTAAGTGTAAGGGTTGGTAGTTGTACAAAGACAATGTAAGTGTAAGGATTGGTAATTGTACATAACCAAAGACAATGTAAGTGTAAGGGTTGGTAGTTGTACAAAGACAATGTAAGTGTAAGGGTTGGTAGTTGTACAAAGACAATGTAAGTGTAAGGGTTGGTAGTTGTACAAAGACAATGTAAGTGTAAGGGCTGGTAGTTGTTCATAACCAAAGACAATGTAAGTGTAAGGGTTGGTAGTTGTACATAGCCAAAGACAATCTAAGTGTAAGGGTTGGTAGTTGTACAAAGACAATGTAAGTGTAAGGGTTGGTAGTTGTACAAAGACAATGTAAGTGTAAGGGTTGGTAGTTGTACATAACCAAAGACAATGTAAGTGTAAGGGTTGGTAGTTGTACATAACCAAAGACAATCTAAGTGTAAGGGTTGGTAGTTGTACAAAGACAATGTAAGTGTAAGGGTTGGTAGTTGTACAAAGACAATGTAAGTGTAAGGGTTGGTAGTTGTACAAAGACAATGTAAGTGTAAGGGTTGGTAGTTGTACATAATCAAAGACAATGTAAGTGTAAGGGCTGGTAGTTGTACATAACCAAAGACAATGTAAGTGTAAGGGTTTGTAGTTGTACAAAGACAATGTAAGTGTAAGGGTTGGTAGTTGTACATAACCAAAGACAATGTAAGTGTAAGGGTTGGTAGTTGTACAAAGACAATGTAAGTGTAAGGGCTGGTAGTTGTACATAACCAAAGACAATGTAAGAGTAAGGGTTGGTAGTTGTACAAAGACAATGTAAGTGTAAGGGCTGGTAGTTGTACAAAGACAATGCAAGTGTAAAGGTTGGTAGTTGTACATAACCAAAGACAATGTAAGTGTAAGGGTTGGTAGTTGTACATAACCAAAGACAATGTAAGTGTAAAGGTTGGTAGTTGTACAGAACCAAAGACAATGTAAGTGTAAGGGTTGGTAGTTGTACAAAGACAATGTAAGTGTAAGGGCTGGTAGTTGTACATAACTAAAGACAATGTAAGTGTAAGGGTTGGTAGATGTACAAAGACAATGTAAGTGTAAGGGCTGGTAGTTGTACAAAGACAATGTAAGTGTAAGGGTTGGTAGTTGTACATAACCAAAGACAATGTAAGTGTAAGGGCTGGTAGTTGTACAAAGACAATGTAAGTGTAAGGGTTGGTAGTTGTACAAACACAATGTAAGTGTAAGGGTTGGTAGTTGTACATAACCAAAGACAATGTAAGTGTAAGGGTTGGTAGTTGTACAAAGACAATGTAAGTGTAAGGGTTGGTAGTTGTACATAACCAAAGACAATGTAAGTGTAAGGGCTGGTAGTTGTACAAAGACAATGTAAGTGTAAGGGTTGGTAGTTGTACATAACGAAAGACAATGTAAGTGTAAGGGTTGGTAGTTGTACAAAGACAATGTAAGTGTAAGGGTTGGTAGTTGTTCATAACCAAAGACAATGTAAGTATAAGGGCTGGTAGTTGTACGAAGACAATGTAAGTGTAAGGGTTGGTAGTTGTACATAACCAAAGACAATGTAAGTGTAAGGGCTGGTAGTTGTACAAAGACAATGTAAGTGTAAGGGTTGATAGTTGTACATAGACAATGTAAGTGTAAGGGTTGGTAGTTGTACATAACCAAAGACAATGTAAGTGTAAGGGTTGGTAATTGTACATAACGAAAGACAATGTAAGTGTAAGGGTTGGTAGTTGTACAAAGACAATGTAAGTGTAGGGGTTGGTAGTTGTACAAAGACAATGTAAATGTAAGGGTTGGTAGTTGTACATAACCAAAGACAATGTAAGTGTAAGGGCTGGTAGTTGTATATAACCAAAGACAATGTAAGTGTAAGGGTTGGTAGTTGTACATAACCAAAGACAATGTAAGTGTAAGGGTTGGTAGTTGTACATAACCAAAGACAATGTAAGTGTAAGGGTTGGTAGTTGTACAAAGACAATGTAAGTGTAAGGATTGGTAATTGTACATAACCAAAGACAATGTAAGTGTAAGGGCTGGTAGTTGTACATAACCAAAGACAGTGTAAGTGTAAGGGTTGGTAGTTGTACATAACCAAAGACAATGTAAGTGTAAGGGTTGGTAGTTGTACATAACCAAAGACAATGTAAGTGTGAGGGCCTTTAGTCACTGACAGATCTCTGTGGAAGTAAATGTTGTAGTGTTGATCTTGTGATTAGCCTTATCCCTTAAATAGATGTTTTAACTTGTAGTGCCTGTTGATGCCACACCATTCCCTCCCCTCACCTTCTCTCTACAGCCCCCTCCTTTGATATTTCTGTAGATGGCGCTGGTGGTAAAGTTGAGAGCAAGCAGATGATCTTTGGCATTGCAACAAGAATAGATCTCTTAAACTTCATCACCAAAGACACTCAGGAACCATAACTTATCATCTTTCTAATTGGAACATTTTGTTTTGATCCTATCATCTTTTTTGTACTTTGCTTGAGAGGGTATTTTGATGTTTTATTATAAATGGGTGATGACATTTGAATTATTTATGTAACATTCAAGTTTATATGAGTGTTTTGATATATATGGGGGACCATTTATTTGAAAAACTTACTTGGTTCTGACAACGAAGTTCAATACATACAAATACATTTACAATTGAAATCTTTACTGTATGTTTTTAAAACTTTAATTACAAATTTAGTGCCTAAATTAAAAAAAATTTGAAGTTCAAGTTTGTCTGAAATTTAACTTTAAAAACAAAGCACTTCAGTAAAGATATGTTCTTCTTTTGTTTGTTTTATAACATTGTTTGAAGCTCCATACATTATAGACATGCAAAAATCAAACTTTATCTTAGACTCTGGGTTTTAAACATGACAATTATTTTTGTAAAAAGTTAAATGAATGTTTCAATAAAATACTTTTTTTTCTGTTTAAAGTAATGCTCCTCAAATTGAACTAAACTTTCATCAATATAAATGAATAACATTGTTACCAATCTCTGTAATGGCCAGTAGGACATCTAGCTATACAGTCTGCCAGTTATTGATACTGGCATGTATCCGTCTTTTTTTTTTTTACACAGAAGTATTGAAATAAAATATTAGCATAGTGTCAACCTTAATTATCTATTACTTTCCTTGTTTGGCCAAATTAAAAAAACATGCTTGCCAAATTGGAAAAAAAAAGCCAAATTGGAAATCTCAAAAAATATCCTGTCATGTCACATAATATCACTGTATTTAAAACATGCTTAAATACATTTTTGTGGCAGGTGATATAGATTTTTGTTGACTAGTTGTTTCTATGCAAAAACAAATAATAATCTTACCATTATACATTGTTGGAAAGCTGCCTCTATCTTAATTTGAATGTAGAAATAATTTTTTTATCTTCACATTACTTTTATGTAGGCACACATAAAACTTTCTCATAGCTCTAAATTATGTCAGTTTATTACAATTCTAAAAATGGGCATTATAATATCAGTGCTGTAATATAAAATACTCACTACAATATACCGGTGTATGTTGGCATTGTAGGGTGTTAAAAATTTATCTAACGGAATAAATGAATTATTTAAGTTGTCAGACATTTACTTTTACAACAGCCATATTGTTAACTTTTATACCAGTACAGAATTGTATTTCTTACATGTATTTCCTTATACAATCTAGCTTGCTTTATTTTATTTTTGATAACTATCTCCTTGTATAGTCTTGATCTTTGCAGATGTTTCTTGTTAAGTATCCAAGTAATGTTTACAAGTAAATTATCTACAAATTTTGTTCAAAGTTGTTTTCAAATACTTGATTTGATTTGGGTGCAAATAAACAAAATTGCAATTTTTAAGCTAACATGGAAAGACTGTTATTAATTAAACTTGTTGAAACGTTTTTAGTCTTTTTTTGTTGAATCTTTATTTTACTTTTTAATTTGAATGGGTGTTTGATTGTGTTAATTTTCTACTTTTTAGTGCATTATTACATAAAAGCTTGTTATTAAAACATTTTAAAAAATATTTCTCCAAAGGACAGGTTAGCTACTGAGCTAAGTTGTTTTTAATTGATTAATTTGCTTCATCCTTTTTTTTTACCCCGTTTAGTGTTTAAAACTGGAATAATTATTTAAGGCTACGAGCTTTTTCCCATCGGATTTCCAATACCAGTCCTAGATAAATAAACCGGGAGTGATCTCCCCTAAACTTTCTCAAATCTATCTTCTATATATATAATTCTCTTCTTGGAGACGCTAGAAAACAAGCTGTAAACGCGCTTCCTACCATCCCCACCCCTACATGGTCTAAGTGAGCTATGTTTACCTTCGTGGAGTCGGGTTTAGTGACGGCTATTAGGGGCAGATAATTTAGTCTGAAACGATTTTAAACGTTGTGGGGGGGGGGGGGGGGGGGCGGTTATGGTCCTTAACGAGCTACTTATAGTGTTTTAAAGAAATATTTTCAGTGTCAGCGTTGTTACTGTCGTATTCACAAATTATAAATTAATGAAAAGTAGAAAAAAAACAACAACTAAATAGCGGCGTATGTTATGCCGCGGGCCGGCTCGTATCCTAATATATAAATCCCCACGTTCGCACATCTCTCTCTCTCTCTCTTTCTCTGTCCGCAAAAAATTTTCGCCGGACATCACGTCAGAATCGGCAGCGATATATCGAGAACTTTTTACGGACTTTTGTTGAAAAAAATATGTTAGATGTTTTAAATGTATAACCACAAAATTATTTAAAGAAGAAAAATAAAAAATAAAGGCGTATTCGAATATAGAGAAACAGTATTATTTATGCAACCGGAAAAGCATTAATATATGTGAAAAAGAACGCATAAAACTGTGACGTCACTATTGCTTATACATTAACTAATGACGTCATCTGCCGTGTTTAGAATGAAAAGAAATGAACTATTTCATTCAAATTTGATTTAGATCTACGTACACTATGAAATGTATACAATACAATTTTTCCGGCCTAAACTCATAAAATTTATTTTATGTATTTGGATTCTAGATCTAGAGATTCTAGATCTAGACTAAATCTAAATCTAAATCTACGCAATAACTAGATCTAGACGTAGACGCTAAGATCTAGATTTAGACTCTAACTTCTCTAAAATCAATTCCAAAAATAAATTTCTATATTAGGACTAAACTATTTCAAGACTTATTTATTTTATACAAAATCTTTGTTATGAACTGGCTAATTTGGGATAAAAAATTAATTTGAAAGAATAGGCATATTCGCGTAAGTTAAGATTTTAAAATACGTCTTTCATTCTCCGTATTTTATAAGGTGCCTAAATAGCGGAGATGTTAGTGTACATTAAACCACGCAGGTGGTGCGGGTTCGAGACACAGCAAGTCAGCTTGGTTAATGTATTCTTTTTTATTATGCTCGGGCTAAACTTAAAAAAAAAATTCTTTTAGGAATCTAGCTCTAGATCTAGATTGTCTGGTGTCCGATAGGGCACTTCCCGGCGCCGCAGGCGCTTCAAATTTGGCATGATCTTGCCTTGGTGCGACAGAACACGGGGGCCGGTTGGCCGAAAAGTCTACGATGTGGGGGTCAAAACTGACCTCGACTGACCGGTACCTTATATGAGCTATAAATCGAAAAAAAATGTCCACGGAGGAACCTCTTCATAACTCTTGAGGTCGTAGACCGACCTTCGGGCGAATTAATTAAGCATTCAAATTCTCAATGTTTTCGAAAGCCTAAGCGAAGCTGGGCAGCATGCCTAGTTCTTATATAAAACAACAGGGGATGGCAACTCGGGATATAGACATGATTTTTAATCCATTTTAAATACTTGAACTTTTTAAAATAGAAAGAATCTCTTAGAAAAAAGATTTGAACACCAAGTGAACTTTAAGCAAAATGTGCATAATAGTACCGAATATTATTAGTACTTTATAAATTCACATGCGTTTTATGAGAAATCTGAAATAGCGTAAATTACTACTTTCGATCAACGGAAATTACTCAAAATTTTATAGAAGGTAGAGAATTAGACATTATACTTATATGTGAAATTTCATTTATCTATTTGAAACAGTACTCAAGTAATAGGTTTTTGAAAAATTGAAAGTAGAAAAAGTTCCACTTCCGGTTATCGGAAATCGCTGAAACGTTGAAACAGATATACAAATTTGATATAATACTTGTATATGAAATTTCATCAACCTAGCTGTAACGGTACTCAAGTTATCATGTTTACAGACGCACAGAGAGAGTGTGAGAGAGAGAGAGAGAGAGACATACGGAAAAGATTGCAAAACTAAGTTTTTCCGACTCAGGGAGGTGTAAAACGTCGAGATTTGCAAAAATCTCGATTATTTTTTTTTGCACGATTATAATACTTTCTCTATACTTTGTATACGAGAAAGTAAAAAAGCTAAACTGTTGAGTGCTTCAGATATATTAGACGAGTTTGCTGTCAGGCAGAGAATTAGATCTTTTACTTACATGTGAAATTTCATTCATCTATCTGAAATAGTAATCAAGTTATAGGCTTTTGAAAAAATTGAAAGTAGAAAAAGTTCCACTTCCGGTTATCGGAAATCGCTATAAAGTTGATGCGGGTCTACGATTTTGATATCATACTTATATATGAAATTTCATCTACCCAGCTGTACGGATATACGGACAAGATTGCAAAACTATGTTTTTCCGACTCAAGGGGCTGTAAAAGTTTTGCACGATTACAAGACTTTCTATATACTTCGTATATACGAGAAAGTAAAAATGAAATATAAACAAAAGAATATTTCAAACTAACTTTATTGGTAAAATAATGATGTATGTAAAATAAACATATCAATTTTATTTACTGCTGTATCAAAGTAGAAAAAGTAAAAAACTCAAAATATAAGCAAAAGAAAAAAAAGTGGAAAGAAAAAAAAAACTTTTGGCAGATACATTTTCTGTGTTTACACGTAAAACTTTGCTCTGAGAGAAAGTCTCTGTTCACAACAACGATAATCCGCCAAATGGCACTCATCCCTACACCTGAATGATTCACCTGGTTCGCTCAACCAAATATTTTGCGTGTTTTACGTTTTAAATATGCCAAAATGGTAATACATTAATGTATTTTCGTGAGGAATTTATACTCAAGGAGCGACGGAACAGCTTTTAACTTAGATATTATTATTTTAGTATATACGTGAATAGAACAAAAAAAACGCACATACTCAATTACATTCCCTTAAACATTGTAATTAAGTCTATTATTTTTGAATGATAATAATATCAAACATTTGATATATTTAATTACATCAAATCACACTAAAATCAATAAAAATTCTATCATACAAAAACTCATCCATTTTTGGTGTCAGCTGCCACTTCGAGGATATTATCTTCGTGCAATATACAGTTTGTAAACAACTTAATTTTGATGAATTCTGCTCGCAATTTCAAAGAAAACATTATTTTATTTTAACTACTTTACAAGGATCTTTCTCAAAACTCCCTTAACTCACTTGTCACTTGATACTATTTAAAAGAAATAACATGCAAATCAACAGGTAGGCGAGGATAAAACTTGTCTACAACATCAAAGATAACACAAGTAGGCTGTGTTCACTCGTGTTGTACAGCCCTTGGTTGCAGTTAAACTACAACATTTGTTGAGACAGGAAAACTTCGTTCTCAGTTTTCCAACCACTATCTTAAACATTAACAATCAATAAATATTCTGTCATACAAAAACTCATCCATATTTGGTGTCATCTGCCATAATGGAACTTCGAGGATATTATCTTCACCAATCGCTTTAATTAAATCAACATTTAGCTGTACGTTTCTTTCATAAAGTAGAAGCACCTTTCCCGGGTTGTCATGTGACATACTGTTCAACACTAGGTTGCAGTGCATCTGGAAATTATTGTCGTGAAAAAACTCTTTTGTTATAACTAGAATTACACGCCAGGTGGCGTTGATCTCAGCACACAAACCTTCATATTCTGGACGTCCTGGATCAAGATCTCTGAAGTCTCGAGTGTTCAGAAAAAAAGTTTGATGTAAATAGTTGCTTAAAAATGTAAAAAAGTCATCGTTGGGAGATGAAACTATAAATACGTGGTTTTGAAAATCTGTTAATCTTCTACGTGGTACAGTGCCAAGTATTTGAGCAACATAAGCCATAATGTACAGTTTACACCGCATGACAACAAAAGACCCCAAAAATATAATAACGATGACGCACAAAATAACAACAGAGACATAAAGATATTGCTGACCCACACACTGACGCCAAAATGTACCAACATTCCAATGTTTATCTAGTTGAGAATACAAACCAGATTCGTTGACACACAACAAATTGGAATCAAAATCTATTTCTACGTGTGTTGTAAGAATCCATTTGATGAAATAGAAGTTCTCACAACCACATGATAAAATATTTCCAGCTAAACGCAAACTTAATTTTCCGTTTCTCTCAGCCAATTCATCAAGTTCCATTGTTATGTCTTCCTCCAATGTCGAAATAGCATTTTCACTAAGGTCAAGTACCCGCAAGTTTGGTGTCAGCTTAAGGTTGAAAGGAATTTCAGTAAACCTGTTGGTTACAAGATAAACTTCTGTCATGTTAGGGTTAGTAGAAAAAGTATTTGGTGCGATAAAACTTAGAGAATTTAAAGATAAATCGAGAAGCTTTAGTGATTTTAAATTCATAAAAATTCTTAAGCTGTTAGATTGAAAACTATTTAAGTCAAATCTGCAGTTTGCCAAACCTAAGTTTTCAACTGCTGAAAATGAGTCTAAAAATGTTGGAGAAAAATCTGAGAAATCGTTTCCTGAAAATAACACTGTTTTAATTTTTGTTAAACCTTCAATTCTACCTGTAGCGAATTGAAATCCATTATCAGAAGCATCGAGATATTCTACATTTTCCATTCCAACAAATGAGATATTGATATCTAAATTAGCGCCGTCCATCAATTGTCCTATGTGAAGATATTTCAATGATTTGGACCCATAAAATATAATACTTTTCAATTTCGTATTGTTTTTTCTCTTGACAATAATTTCATCATATATTATATTTGGAGTTTTCTGTGACTTTAACTTGTGTAGATGTTCATTCTCAGACAGATAGTAGTCAGATATTTTAAACTTACTTGGCGTGGCAGGTCCGTTTGAAGAACCGTGGGCATACACATTTTGTAAGCTTCTTAAAGTTAATAATCTGATAAGCCCTAAGTTACTCCCAATCCATCTATTTTCAGATAAGTCCAAATATTCTAGACACGAATGCCAGGTTTCACTAACTAAAGCATTTTGATCAAGAATAAATAGAGAAGAATAAATGAATTCAAATCGTCGGACACAAATTTGTATAAGATACTTGGTTTTTTCTATATCGAGCACATCGTCTTGGATTGAATTACTCGTAAATCCTGTGGGGGCACCTAAAATAACTCTTAAAAATTTGATCAAAGTCATATTTCTTCCTACTAGTGGTTGAAGAATTTGTAAAGCTTGTTTTTTCCCTGCATTTACATACATGAGAGTAAAGCTATCTAACAAAGGCAAATAGGATAGGGCCTTGTTGCTAAAATTAGACAAGGTACCCGAGCCATCTATTTTTAATTCCTTCAAATGATTTAAATTTTTAAACGTGCTTTCAGAAATAGAATTAGAACAAACACTCAGAAAAATGTTTGTGAGTTTACCAAGTTTGTTAAACTCTGGTCCAAAGTTGACTGTTTCTCCTACACTGTCTATAGACAGAGTGGTCAGATTTGTTAGTGGACAAAGAAAACATGAAGGGTATTCACTCTTGGTGCAATCTTGGTCTTGTCTCAGATAGAGTTCCTTTAAATTAATGAGTGGAGAAAATATGCCCTCTGGATAGCTGTTGTTATCAAACTCCAGAGCATTATACTCTAGGTTTAGGACTTCCAGATTAATAAGGTCAGAAAATGCATTTGTGTGTATCTTGTATATTTTATTATATCTTATACTTAACAAACGTAAGTGTGTTAAGTTTTTAAACGTTTCGTTTTTTATTTCTGTCAAAAGATTGTAATCCAATACAATAACTGTTGTATTTAAAGGAAACCAACTTGAATTAACACGATCCAGTGAAAGACCTGTACAGTTTATGATGACGTCAGTTGTATTAATTGTCTGCTGACAGGGTGTGTTTGTCACTTTGAACGTATGACCTGTACTGTCATGGTACGTCTGAAACTGTCTGATACTTTCTGATTGTAGCTCTCTTACACAGAAGAGAGAGAATAGAATCACCACAGCAACCAAACCGCTTGCCATGATAGTTTCAATATTGTACAAGCATCTGACAAAAAAAACATTTTTTTTTAAAACAGTAAGTAGTCTGCGCTGTATTGGGCATGTTTGTTGGGGGTAGTGTGTGTAGGGGGGGGGGGGAGTGGATACCAATTTAATACTGATTGCAATTATGTATGATCCTTTTCTTTCCTTAACATTCATTCTGTAAAATTAAGGGAAACCGACACCTTTTTGAAATTTTATATATATATATATATATATATATATATATATATATATATATATATATATATATATATATATATATATATATATATATATATATATATATATATATAATCAACAAATCTCCAAATGAATGAAATTGGAAAAGTTCAAACTATTTCCTATATGAAAATAATAAATCAAAATTATTAATGGAACAGCCCGTGATATGCCTACATATCTTTTGTGTGAAGGTTTCGTTAGCAAAGTCGAAAGTCAATTTTAAAATCTCTAATAGTAATCAATTCCATCAAAATATTAAGCGATTGTTTCCAAACTACAGACAAAACAAGAGGCGTTAGATGGACACTAACAATTATTCTAGAGAACATATATATTTTTTAAGACAACAGTACCCTGCTAGTAGATAAACGGAATCTGAGAACTGCCAAAATGTAGTCAAAGACCGGCGGAAATGGAAACAACTTCTTGATGTTTCCTGTGTACCATGAATAATCTACCCATAGCCTTGATAATGAAACAGAACATTCACGTATCTCTTTAAATCTGAGAACACTCACGTCAGATTTCTTATCACCGATGCAGAACTAATAAAGGACGGGACAATGTGTGGCCAGATACCAACCAGATCTGATTGTTAAAAAAAAAATTGAGAAATCAAACAGCCGTGTTTTATTAAACAGATTATTTTGGTAAGTGTTTGTCTAAACATGTACAAAACCATGAGGCCCCTTTATATTGAGTGGTAATTAATCAATTAAATAAATAATTCGCAAAATGAAGAAAACGAAATAACTCACATTTAACATACGAAACTTATCATGTATTGTGTGACTCAGGCAACTTAATGTAACTTGTCTATCGCCAGTTTTAACCTAGACACCCTACTGTATTCATTCTGTTTATCGACATGTATCAGAACAATATCAATTGATTTATACAACAGGGACCTAAGAAAAATATGTATTGATTTATTGATTTAGAGCAGGGGTCTCCAAACTTTTTAGCCCGAGGGCCGGATTAACTCTTAAATATCAGTTCGGGGGCCAGAGTTTCTACCAGGCATCTCTTCGGCGTGGCGGATCCCCCCCCCCCCCACCCCAAGAATGTCTACTTCCCCCCCCCCCCCCCCACGAAATATAATTTTTATTGAAATATTTACAAGTATCCACCACTCCCTTTCCGTAGAAAAAAAGTCTGAAAGAAACACTGTCGGTTGCCGACAACACACTCGAGGTTCAAGTTCGTTCTCAAATAATTTTGAAAATGCTTGTTCAAACAGATAAGCTGTTCCAAAATTTGATAGGTACGTTAATGAAGAAGTTTTAATATTAGGAAAGTCTTCCTTGGGCAAAAACGTATTTAAATAAAAACCGGGAGTGATCTCCCTAAACTTTCTCGAATATTCTTATATAACTTGGAATATAGACATAATTTTTAATTACTTAAACTTTTAAAAATAGAATAGAATCTCAAAGAAAAGAGAATTGCGCACCAAGGAAAAGCCAAAACAAAATGTTCATAATAGTGCGCAATATTATTAGTACTTTATAAATTTACATGCGTTTTTTTGAGGAATAGGAAATAGCGTAAATTAGTACTTCCGGTCAACGGAAATTACTCAAAATTTGAAAGAAGGTAGAGAATTAGATCTTTTACTTACATGTGAAATTTTATTTATCTATCCTAAATCGTACTCAAGTTATAGGCTTTTGAAAAATTCATAGTAGAAAAAATACCACTTCCGGTTATCGGAAATCGCTCAAAAGTTGATCAGGATCTACGATTTGGATAAAATACCTATATATGAAATTTCATTAACCTAGCTGTAACGGTACTTAAGTTATCGTGTTTACACACAGACAGACAGACACACACACAGACAGACACACAGACATACGGACAAGATTGCAAAATTATGTTTTTCCGTATCAGTGAGGTGTAAAACGTCGAGATTTATAAAAATCTCGATTTTTTTTTTGCACGATTACAAGACTTTCTCTATACTTCGTACATACGAGAAAGTAAAAACTTATAAACACCCACCCGCCCTTCTTTGAACTTGGCTCTAAGGAGGTCATTTTGTTTTTGCTTGCAATTCAGTGAAATCCAACTGTAGTTCATCTGGGCAACTGGCCACATTGGCTTCAAATGGGTTTTGAAACAGTCTTACTTCTCCTGCCCTTAAATCATAGTCAGAAAAACGGTACTGAAACTGCAGCTTGAGGTCCTTGATGAATATTTTTTCCGCAGATAAAAAGATCTCCGCGGGCCGGATAAGAGAACCTTGCGGGTCGCATCCGGTCCGCGGGCCGTAGTTTGGAGACCCCTGGTTTATAGCAGGGTCTTAAAATTGAACTGTCTCGTCTTGGATTATTGTCTCCGGCTGCGAACCTCTGCCCCAACGTGAATGTATTTGACCCTGATATTGTATACTTGTGAACCATTGTGTCAATTTAAGAACCACTTCATAAGTGACTGGTTTTTTGTTTCTTGAATTATTATTTCTTTCTATCCGTTTATGTTCAGCACCTGGTAATATGGCGTCATTAGGTCAGCTTACATCTGACACCGTAGCTTATGTGGCAACACCTGACACAATCACACAAATACATACACAGGCGCATACGCACACACACTCTATACTGTTTTATTAGGTAACTAATCATATTTTTAACGTGAAAAGTACAAATAGCATTTGTTGAATACAAAACATTAATTCCCCAAAATAAGACATTTAAAAACAGAACATGAGCCTGGTATTTGCACGTAAGCGTTTTTTTCTTTCTAGTCCCGGATCTTTGCCAACTGGGACAGAAAGAACACATTAATTGCACACGGAAATACAAAAGCTTGTCCGTACACGGAATAATTCAATCAAGCAATTTTATTTCTAGGCCATGTACAAGCTTTTTATTACAAGCTTTTATTTAACTTGCTAGATCTGCCTGTCGTACTCGTGTCTCTCTGTCTTCCTCTTGTCTAGATCCAAGCGGGCGGGCGAAATTTTGGGCACTTGTAACCAATCAATTTCTGTGAAATTCGGCACGTGGGTCAAGGCAATGCAATATAACATTAAAATTGACTAAATTAGATGTCTAATTAATTTTTTATGAATTGATCAAAATGTTCTGAAATTAGTTAGCTGTTCTATTCTACCATCCTTTACTATAATACGCGCGTTAACATTTTGTTTTTCAGTCATGAAATTCTCTTGTAAATAAACAAGTTAATAAAAAGTCTAGTGACAATTTAAGCGCAATTTCATTATGTTATCCATAACAATTTTAAATCGAGATAAATCATATATTCAGCAACTGAAATAGTTTTATTTTAACGAGTAGACCTACACGATGCTCAGTTTAAAAAAAAAACAAGTTAATAAAAAGTCTAGTGACAATTTAAGCGCAATTTCTTTATGTTATCCAAACAATTTTTTAATTTTTTGTGACCGAACGAAAGGATATTTTTTTGCGCTAAAAACCTACACGATGCTCAGTTTAAATTAAAAATATCATCCTAGGCCTACACGATGCTCAGTTTAAAAATTCTTAATTTTTTGTGACCGAATGAAAGGATATTTTTGAAAACTTTATTCGGCAATATTGTTCTAAATTATGGCAGAAATCGATTGGTAAATGTTTCAAGTCTCTAAGTGGTCTGGTTGCCGAGATATGGGCAAAAAACTGCATTTTTTTCTATGTTTTTTTTGGCTTTTCCGGGAAATCCAGGAAGGAATTCCGGGAATTTTTTTGGCCCACAATCATCCTCGGAACTTGCTTAACATATTTGCTTTGGAACTAGTCCTCGATATTGCTTCGTTGAGGAGGAGATACGACTTAAAGCTGCGGACACACATCCACACATCCATCCATCTATCCATCCATCCATCCAGAAATGACGCATTATTAAACGCAATTGCCAGTATGGAAATTGCGTTAAAAAATTAAAGTACTGAATTTTTTTTTGCACAAAATCGTTTTAATAACCAGCTTTAAGTAATAATGCATTAAATAGGAGTAAATACATTCTTTACTTTAAATATAATATAATATACCAATGTTTAAATAACTGTAAAGAAAAGCGTGGGTCGCTTCTTAAATTCTAGTAAAAGTATTCAATACACGTTATAGCGACACACACTTTTCTTTATTATTTATTTTCCCCCTTTTAGTGCATTATTACATGAAAGTGTGTTGTTTAAACGTTTTTTAATGCAATTTTTAAACTTGCTTCCTCTGTCTGCATTTCTGTCTTTTTGTCTGTCATCATAGATCAAAATTGCCGAACAAAATTTCAAGCAATTCTAACTGACTGATTCGTTTCAAACTTGGCACGTGATTCACATGTAGACAATGCAATCTGACATCGACTTTTACTTAATATGATACCCAATTAATTTTTTAATGAATTAATTTAAATTTCCTAAATAAAGTAAGAGGGCCTACTACTATTATGCACTAGTATAAGCGATGGTTTATGTTAATTTGGGGCAATGATGTAGTGTATGAGAATTTTGAACACACTCCAGACTGTTTTAAAGACTTATTGATGTCGTAAAAATGCGTAAAGAGAAAAGTGCGCAGTATAATTTTCTGTGTATATAATAAATTGAACTATATTATAGCATGCAACTAAAACATATATTACTGCATATTGTATAATTGTATATTGTATATAATTGCATATTGTATATTTTTTGATAAAATGAAATACGACACCATTGGAAAAACCAATTAATCAAATATAGCAACAAACTTGGTCGTCAATGGCACAACGGAATGGAAGCATAGCTGACCTGATATAAATTGGAGTCTGTTTTCTCGAAAAAAATGGGTAGCACATACTGGTGACTCAAGCATAATGTGACGCGTCAATGGAGACATAACAGACATTGTAGCACGCTAGAGAGGAGGTCGCGGGAATGCACGCATAAAACAGGAAATCGATAACAGGACATTATTTATTTTTAAACCAACAGTCTAAAAACACTTACTGTTTCCCTGTAGGACTGAGGCTAGCTATTGAGCTAATTTGTTTTTAATTGGTTAATATGCTGAATCCTTTTTTAAAACCACCTTTAGTGTTTAAAGCTTGAATAATTATTTATGATTACGGAGTTACTTCCATCGGATTTCCAATACTAGTCCAGTAGATAGAAATTAAAATAAATATAAACAAAAAGAATATTTTAAACTAACTTTATTAGTAAAATAATGATATCATATAAACATTTTAATTTTATTTACGGCTGTACCAAAGTAGAATTATTGAAAACTCAAAATATAAGCAAACGAAAAAAAAAATGGAAAGAAAAAAAAACTGTTGAAAAAATAAGCTAATTAGTTAACTCTTTTTGCAGATACATTTTCTGTGTCTACGAGTTAAACTTTGCTCTGAAAGAAAGTCTCCGTTCGCAAGAACGATAATCCGCCTAATGGCACTCATCCCTACACCTGCATGATTCACCTGGTAATAGATCACGGGGAGAGACAGTGGCGTTGCTAGGCGGGGGTGCGGACCGCACCGGGTGACAACCGATCTAGCGAGGCCACTGGGTAGACATTCATGATTTCAGTTTTAAAGTTCGCTCAACCAAACATTTTGCGTGTGTTACGTTGCAAATATGCGAAAAAGTTAATACATTAATGTATGTTCGTGAGGAATTCACACCCAAGCTCATAAACTTTTAACGTAGATATTATTTTAATATAGGCCTATACATGAAAAGAAAAAAAACCTCACATACACAATTATATTCACTAAAATGTAATTAAGTCTATTAATTTGAATAACATTAATATACAAACATTAGATATATTTAGTTACATCGAAACACACTTTAGTAATCAATAAAAATTCTTTCATACAAAAAATTATCCATATTTGGTGTCATCTGCCATAATGGAACTTCGAGAATATTATCTTCACAAATCGCGTTAATTAAATCAACATTTAGCTGTACGTTTCTTTCATAAAGTAGAAGCACCTTTCCCGGGTTGTCATGTGACATACTGTTCAACACCATGGTGTAGAGCATCTGGAAATTATTGTCGTGAAAAAATTCAACAGTTACAACCAGAATTATACGCCATGTGGCGTTGATCTCAGCAAACAAACCGTCAATTTCTGGGCGCATTGGCTCAAGATCTCCGAAGTCTCGAGTTCTCAGAAAAAAAGTTTGCTTTAAGTAGTTGCTTAAAACTGTAACAAAGTCATCGTTGGGAGATGAAACTATAAATACGTGGTTTTGAAAATCTGTTAATCTCCTACGTGGTACAGTACCAAATATCTGAGCAAACCAAGCCTTAATGTACAGCTTACACCGCATGGCGACAAAAGACATCAACAATATTATAAGGATGACACACAAAATAACACCAGAGACATATAGATATTGCTGACCCACACACTGACGCCAAAATTTACCAACATTCCAATGTTTATCTAGATGAGTATACAAACCAGATTCGTTGACACACATCAAATTTGAATTAAAATCTATATCTACGTTTGTTGTAAGAATCCATTTGATGAAATAGAAGTTCTCACAACTACATGATAAAACATTTCCAGCTAATCGCAAACTAAATTGTCCATTTTTCTCAGCCAATTCATCAAGTTCTATTAATACGGCTTCCTCCAATGTCCAAATAGTATTTTTCCTAAGGTCAAGTACCCGCAAATTTGGTGTCAGCTTAAGGTTGAAAGGAATTTCAGTAAACCTGTTGGTTACCAGATAAAGTTCTGTCATGTTGGGGTTAGTAGAAAACGTATTTGGTGCGAGAAAACTCAGAGAATTTAAAGACACATCTAGACGCCTTAGTGATTTTAAATTCATAAAAATTCTTAAGCTGTTTGATTGAAAACTATTTAAGTCAAATCTGCAATTTGACAAAGCTAAATTTTCGACAGTTGAAAATGAGTCCAAAAATGTAGGTGAAAAATCTGAGAAATGGTTTCCTGAAAATAACACTGTTTTAAGTCCTGTTAAACCTTGAAACTTTCCCGTAGCGTTACGAAATCCATTATCAGTGAGATCAAGGCATTCTAAATTTTCATAACTAACAAAAGATATATTAATTTTAAGCCCAGCGTGATCTATTGATTTCCGAATACGTAAATATTTCAGTGATCTGGATCCATAAAATATAAAACCTCTTAATTTTGTGTCGTTTTTATTCATTACATTCATCTCACCTCTCTCGGTGTTTATACCATACTGTGTTGTATTGTTATTATATTTAGAAATAATAACATGTTGGTTTTGCTGTGACTTTAACTGGTGTAAAAATGTATTTTCAGACACAATTTTGTCCGGTATTTTAAACTTACTTGATCCTGTATCATCTTCTAAAGCACCGTAAAAATATACATTCTCTAAGTTTCTTAAAGTAAGTAATCTTAAAAAAGCTATTTTACTTCCCATCCACTGATTTTCAGACAGGTCCAAATATTCTAGACACGAATGTCAAGTTTCACTGATTAAAGCGTTTTGTTCCAAAATGAAGAGAAAAGAATGGACGAAGTCAAATCTACGGACACAAATTTGTAGAAGGTACTTCGTTTTCTCTAAATCAAGCACACCATCATTCATTGAGTTACTGGAAATGTCTTCAGGGGGATTACCAAAAACTCTAAAAAATCTGATCATAGACATGTTCCTTCCTTCTAGAGATTGAAGGATATGTAAGGCTTGTTTTTTTGCCACATATTTACTACTGCTGAACGTAAAGCTATCTAACAAAGGCAAATAGGCGAGGGCCATGTTGCTAAAATTAGAGCTGACGCCATCTAAAGCTAATTGCCTCAAACGATTTAAGTTTTTAAAAGTACTTTCAATAATGTAGTAGGAACAAACAGTCAGAAAAAGATTCGTTAGTTTACCAAGTCTTTTAAACTCTGGTCCAAAGTTGACCGTTTCTCCTACACTGTCTATAGACAGAGTGGTCAGATTTTTTAGTGGACAAAGAAAACATGAGGAGTATTCACTCTTGATGTAATCTTGTTCTTGTATCAGATAGAGTTCCATTAAATTAATGAGTGGAGAAAATATGCCGTCTGGATAGCTGTTGTTATCAAACTCCAGAGCATTATACTCTAGGTTTAGGACTTCCAGATTCGTAAGGCCAGAAAATGCATTTGTATGCATCTTGTATATTTTATTATTACTCAAATTTAACAAACGTAACTGTGTTAAATTTTTAAATGTGTAGTTTTCTATTTCCGTCAAAAGATTGTAATCCAAGAAAATAACTGTAGTATTTAGAGGAAACCAATTTGAATTAACACGATCCAATGACAGACCTTTACAGTTTATGATGACGTCAGTTACATTATTTGTCTGCTGACAGGGCGTGTTCGTCACTTTGAACGTAGGACCTTTACTGTCGTGGTACGTCTGAAACTGTCTGATACTTTCTGCTTGTAGATCTCTTACATAGAAGAGGCAGAATAGAATCACCACTCCAACCGAACTGCTTGTCATGGTCGTTTCAGTGTTGTAAAAGTATCTGATGTATAAAAGTTTTTTTAACAGTTAGTAGACTGCGTGATTTTGGTCACTTTTTTGTCGGAAGTATATATATATATATATATATATATATATATATATATATATATATAAATATATGGTGCGCGGAACTTTGACCATAGGGAGTTTGCCCATAGGGGTTTTGGCCACAGCGGGGCTTTGATCATAACGGGTTTTTGACCATAGGGCCTTTTACCATAAAGCTTTTACCACAGGTGTTTTGTCAGCAGAAGGTCTTTGATCACAGGTGGTTTGTAAACGGCTGTTTGATCACAAGCGCTTTGTCCGACTTTCACAGTGTTTCTTCTAGACTTTGTTCTCCGAGGTGGGGGGGGGGGGGGGGGGACGACGGACGGGACTTATTGGGGGGGGGGGGCGGTTTCCGGGGGAGGGGAGGGGGGACACTAGCAAAGACATATGGTGAAACATATGTTCTGACATATTTGCGTGCTATAGCACATCGGTAATTAAGTTAACTATACAAGCATTACTTATTTGACTATACGGTTGGCATGTTTTTTAAATCCTTTTTTATCGCTTATATATGCAATGTATTTTCTAGTACATAATATACATTATTTTTATTTGTGAAACTTGTTATATGTCGCATTATTTGTGTTCCATTTATATTTAAAATAAATCAATAAATTAATTAACGTCTTAAAAAAATTGTGATTAACAGTCTGTCTGAAAACAAAAATTGTTCTCTACCTACATACTATTTTACAGCTCTACACATAATGCAGATTCTCTTCTGTAGCCAAACGGACAAACAAACAAACAAAAAAATATTCAAACATGTAAACAAACTTGAGTTTTAGTTGTATACTAGGCATGCTGCCCAGCTTCGCTTAGGCTTTCGAAAACATTGAGAATTTGAATGCTTAATTAATTCGCCCATATAAGGCGCTGGTCAGTCGAGGTCAGTTTTGACCCCCTCATCGTAGACTTTTTGGCCAACCGGCCCCCGTGTTCTGTCGCCCCAAGGCAAGATCCTGCCAAATTTGAAGCGCCTGCGGCGCCGGGAAGTGCCCTATCGGGCACCCGACAACTTAGCTTAATAGATCATCTAGATCTAGATCTAGAATCTCTAGATCTAGATGATCTAGAATATCTAGATCGAGATCAATATCTAGATCTAGAATGTCTAGATCTAGAATCCAAATAGATAAAATAATTTTTTTAAGTTTAGGCCGAGAAAATCGTATTGTATACATTTCATAGCGTACATAGCTCTAAATCATATTTGAATGAAATAGTTCATTTCTTTTTATTCTAAACTCGGAAGATGACGTCATCAGTTTCGATCTCTTTTTTTAGTGTAAACAATAAGCGACGTCATTTTTTAATGCGTTCTTGTCTCAAGTTTATACACTTTTCCGGTTGCATAAATAATACTGTTTCTCTACATTCGAATACGCCTTATTTTTTATTTTTCTTCTTTAAATAATTTTGTGGTTATTTATTTAAAACATCTAACATATTTTTTTCAATAAAAGTCCGTAAAATGTTCTTCATATATCGCTGCCAATTCTGACGTGATGTCCGGCGAAAATATTTTGCGGACAGAGAGAAGTGCGCACATGGGGAGTTATATATTAGGATAGATAGTATGGCTAACCGCCCCCCCCCCCCGTGTGGTCAAAGTCCCGCTGGGGTCAAAGCCCCGCTGTGGTCAAACCTCCTATGGTCAAAGCACCTGTGGTCAGAGCACCTAAGACCATATATATATATATATATATATATATATATATATATATATATATATATATATATATATATATATATATATATGGGGGGACTAGGTGATGGTGGAAAAAAAGAAATAACAATAGATATCAATGTAATATTTATTGTAATTATGTTCGATCCTTATCTTTCCCCACGATACTAAGTCATTAGTAATTATGCCAAAGACAAGGAAACTAAAACCTTTTTTTTAAAAATAAACATCACGTTTATTTTACACACTAGCATATATTTGCAAGAACATTCTACACAGAATCTACAATGCTGCAGAAGAAGGAATGCAAAAAAGCCAAACTATTTCCTTTAGGCAAATAATAAATCAAAATTATGAAAGGAACAGCCCCTTATATGTATTTTTGTGTGTGAGGGTTTTGATAGTAAAGACGAAAGTAAATTTTTGAATCACGAACAGTGATCAATGCCATTAACGTTTTATGCGATGGTTTCCAATACAGAAATATATTTGGTAATTATACCACAGGTATTTTTACGTCCAGAGAGGAACCAAACAATGATGTATTATATCCTGTTTTTTATCATGTAATCGATTGCTAGACAACACAAACTACAGATAAAGCAAGAGGCATCAGATGGACACTAAAAACTACCCTAGAGGATCTGTATGCTTTAAGCAACAGTGCCCTGCTAGTAACTAAACGGAATCCGAGAACTGCCAAAAAGTTGCCAATGGCGGAAATGGAAACAACTTCTTGACGTGTCCTGTGTACCATGAGTAATCTACCCAAAGCCTTGATAATGAAACAGAACATTCACAAATCTCTTTAAATCTGAAAACACCCACTTCAGATTTCTTATCACCGATGCAGAACTTTTAATGGACGGGACAATGTGTGGCCAGATACCAACCAGATCTGATTGTTAAAACAAGTTAATTAAAAAAGTCTAGTGACATTTATGCGCAATTTCCTTATCTAAAAATAGCTCTGACGTATAATGCTGGGGTGCGTTCAAGCTAGAAGAACGATCGGTTCGAAGGTGTTTATGTAATTTTATAATTTTTGACCGAACGAGAGGATATTTTTGAAAACTTTCTTCGGCAATATTGTTCTAAATTTTGGCAGGAATCGATTGGTACATGTTTCAAGTCGCTAAGTGGTCTGGTTGCCGAGATATAGGCCAAAAACTGAATTTTTTCGAGGTTTTTTGGCTTTTCCGGGAAATACATGAAAGAAACCCGGAATTTTTATGGCCTATGCTCATTCTCGTAACTTGCTTAACATAATTGCTTTGAAACTAGTCATCGATATTGCTTCGTTGAGGAGGAGATACGACTTAAAGCCCGGACACACATTCATCCATACATTCATTCATCCATCCATTCCCAGAAATGACGAGTTAATAAACGCAATTCTCCAGAATGGAAATTGCGCTAAAAATAATTGAGAAATCAAATCAACAGCCGTGTCTTATTGAACAGATTATTTTGGTAAGTGTTTGTCTAAACATGAACAAAACCATGAGGCACCTTTATAATCAAAGGTAATTAATTAATTAAATAATTCACAAAATGAAGAAAACGAAATAACTCACATTTAACATACGAAACTTGTCATGTATTGTGTGACTCAGGCAACTTAATGTAACTTGTCTATCGCCAGTTTTAACCTAGCCACCCTACTGTATTCATTCTGTTTATCGACGTGTATCATAGAACAATATCAATTGATTTATACAACAGGGACCTATGAAAAATATGTATTGATTTATTGATTTAGAGCAGGGGTCTCCAAACTTTTCAGCCCGAGGGCCGGATTAACTCTTAAATATCAGTTCGGGGGCCAGAGTTTCTACCAGGCATTTTTTCGGCGTGGCGGAGTCCCCCCCCCCCCCGAATGTCTACCTCCCCCCACTCGAAATATAATTTATATTGAAATATTTACAAGTATCCACCATTCCCTTTCCGGACAAAAAAGTCTGAAAGAAACACTGTCGGTTGCCGACAACACACTCGAGGTCCAAGTTTGTTCTCAAATTATTTTGAAAATGCTTGTTCAAACAGATTAGCTGTTCCAAAATTTGATAGGTACGTTAATGCAGAAGTTTTAATATTAGGAAAGTCTTCCTTGGGCAAAAACGTATTTAAATAAACCGGGAGTGATCTTCCCAAAAACTTTCTCAAATATTCTTATATAACTTGGAATGTAGACATGATTTTTGTTTACTTAAACTTTTAAAAAATAGAATAGAATCTCATAGAAAAAAGAATTGCGCACCAAGCGAACGCCAAAACAAAATGTATAATAGTGCGCAATATTATTAGTACTTTATAAATTTACATGCTTTTTTGAGAAATCGGAAATAGCGTAAATTAGTACTTCCGGTCAACGGAAATTACTCAAAATTTGACAGAAGGTAGAGAATTAGATTTTTTACTTACATGTGAAATTTCATTTATCTATCTGAAATAGTACTACTCAAGTTATAGGCTTTTAAAAAATTCAAAGTAGAAAAAGTACCACTTCCGATTATCGGAAATCGCTCAAAAGTTGATACGGATCTAAGATTTTGATAAAATACCTTTATATGAAATTTCATCAACCTAGCTGTAACGGTACCTGTTGTTTTATATAAGAATGTTCGAGAAAGTTTAGGGGAGATCACTCCCGGTTTATGTATACAATTTTTAAACTTGCTTCCTCTGTCTGCATTTCTGTAGTTTTCATGCCCTACAAAAGAGTTTCCAGTTTTACATTACCCTAGCGGACCGGACTGCGGTTACAGAGGTAATGTATTCTTTTTTAAATTAAATTGGGGAAAAACTAAAGGTCAAAGTTCACCATTGTTGATTGTTACAACTGAGGCCACGGTTGATGTGAGTTATCCCCCACCTGAACTGCGATAGAAAGACATTAGTGTCACACATCGATGTGTGCAGTGAAGAGTTGTACGGGTCGCCTTGTAATTGTTTTACCTAAAATGGCTTGAGATGGGTGGACTTGAGTGAGCCATCCCACCCCCACCCCATCCCACCCACATTAAGCCTGGTATGTAAATGTGGGAAAACAGGTAATGTGATACCCTTCTGTATTCGGAACAATGTAGAAGTTTTTTGTTTTTTTATGCCTGTACACGTTACGGACCTTAGAAATGCTAGTCTTGTCTCGTACGTCGAAGTAGTCGGATATGTAGGAACAAAGCGTCTCGTCTTGGTAAAAGAAAAACAAAACTCGATATATTGAGAAAATGTCGGTACTAGTAATAAAGAACAGCGATCAGATGAAACTGTATGATTAAACAATGACACAACATACCGCAACTTTTTTTACTTTCTCGTGTATACGAAGTATAGAGAAAGTCTTGTAATCGTGCACAAAATTCACATGAAATTTTAACAGTTTTCACCGTTTTACATCTCAGTCCTTCATCACATCCGGAGTATAGAAGACTTATTTTAATCAGACAAAAATATAAATACAAATATATAAACATTTTGGCGTTTTATGCGTTATTGAGTCGGAAAAACTGGACTTTGCAATTCTGTCCGTATGTCTGTGTGTCTGTGTGTGTGTGTCTGTGTGTGTGTCTGTAAACACGATTACTTGAGTACCGTTACAGCTAGGTTGATGAAATTTCATATATAAGTATTTTATCAAAATCGTAGATCCGTATCAACTTTTGAGCGATTTCCCGACTTCCCATCCCCTGTTTTTTTATATAAAAATATTCTAGAAAGTTTAGGGGAGATTGTTGAAGGTTTTTTTTCAATTACAAAAAAAAAAAAAAAAAAAAAAGGAAAAAATCAATTTAAAAAAATCACCCCATTTGATGCCCCCTGAAGTCGATTTCCGGGGCCTGGGCCCCTCCGACCCCCCCCCCCCCTCTGCACACCACTGCTATCGAGCGAAATGTTGAGCAATTCTAACTGACTGATTCGTTTTAAACTTAGCACGTGATTCAAGACCCGTGGACAATGCAATCTGACATCAGATTTGACTTTATTTTCCAAAATAAAGTAAGGGGACCTACTACCATTCTGCACTTGTATAAGCGCATTTTCATGTTCCTTTGAGGCGCAGCAGTTTTTAGTAATGAAACTCTATTGTATTGACAAATTTTAAGTACTTAAAAAATGCATAAAATACGTTTGAACAACAACCCATTTAAGTAATAATGCCATAAAAAGGAGAAAATAAAATATTTTTCTTTAAAAATATAACAATACACTTCTATTTAAATAGCTATAAGGAAAAGCGAGGCTCTTCACATAAATATTAGTAAATGTATCCAATAGATACTATTGTGACCCACGCTGCCAAACATACCATATTGTCCGATTAGCTGTATTTAATGTGCCCTAGTTTGTAATTCAGTGTAATTAATAATTAGTATAGGCCTAACGTGATTACCGTAGAGGTCTACAAACACCAAATATCTGCCCTTGCTTTTTTATTCATACAATACAATGACCCTTGCCTTTTCGCCAACTGGAAAATAAAATATCGGGAATTCACTGTTGCTATATAACAGGTGGCGAAAATAGACTTGTAGCAAAGGCTATTTATAGATCGACTATTTGAAATATTTTGGAATAAAATCAGGTTTTATTCTAAAAAAAAATACGTGACATCTAGTTAAACAAATATTTCAAGCAAAGCGGTCATCCATAAATGACGTCACGCTTTTTTTGGATGATTTTTACCTCCCCCCTCCACTCCGTCACACGTCGTCACAAAAAGCTAGAACCCCACTAAAATGGCGTCACACCTCAGCCTACAACCCCCCCCCCCCCCCACCAAATTGCTGTTGAATTTTTCTTAAAACATCGATATTTTTTTTCAAAATCTTGTTAAAACCGTTATCTAAAACGTGAAATAACGGCTAAATCTCATTTTCTAAAATTGATTTTATAATGCAAAAAAGTGACGTCACACCATCTGACCCCCCTCCCCCTCATCATACACCGACATGAATTACGGAATCCCTCCCCCTACGAGTGTGACGTCATTTATGGACGACCCCAAAGCTAAGACAAAAACTGGAAACTCTTACCTAATTAAAAAAAAACAATAATTGGCCAAACACCACTTGAGCATCCCTCGAGTAAATATAGTTATAATAGTTCTTGGGGTTTCATAGATTTTATAGGGGCGCAATCTGAATGGTAGGAAGGAAATACAGACCTCTCCCCCCCCTCCTTCCCATCACCCCACCGGACCGAATGATAGACCAGGGGTCAATTTTGGCTCATAGAAAAATATTTTGCAATGATTGATTAGTATTAGTATTACATAGACCATTTTCCCACGGCAGTTCTTATTTACAAATACTTGATTTTATTTGGGTGCAAACAACAAAATTGCAACTATCGTGGAAAGATTTTCCTTTGTTGGTTTCATATTTTACTTTTTAATTTGAATGCGTGGCTGATTGAGTTCACTAAGCTATAAACGGATACATGAAAAACCCTTTACAGTCAGAGACGTAGCAAACCATTATGGCACTCGTAGCAAATTATCAATTTCCCCCTTTACTGAAATATAGCTCATCAAGCTGGAAAAAAGCGCCCCTTCTCCCACCCTGCTTTTTACCAGTCACTACTATCCTGTAGTAATTTTATTTCAGTGTCACGATTGATGTAGAAAAAATGTTAAATCCATCTGTAACTCTATGTAGAGGTCTATTTATAATTCAGTATTGCAGCTCAATTTTAGTTATTTTTTTCCTACCCCATTTGGCGACGCCCTTGGCTGCCGCCCTAGCCACTAACTATACCTTTGTTTACAGCAGCAAGCTGTTCACTTTAATTGCGCTAAAATTAAAATAACATTGTAAAAAAAAGGAAAGTTCCCTTTTCAAACCTGACGGTCTATAGGGCAAGTGAAGTAGAGTTCACTTGTTTCTGTGACCTCGGCATTTAAGAGATAGTGTGGTTAGCACTATGCCCAGCCGCCTTTACTTTCCCTAACGTGAGTTAGGTACCCATCAGAGTTGGGTGGACAATAACATTGGCCGCGCATGAAATCCGACAACTTTATCTTATTTTTTGTTATTAACAATTTCAAAATTAAAATAACTGATCTTTAAATTAAAGAAAAAAACAACAACACTTGGTACCCTTTCTCTTTCTCGTCCAGTCGTTTATAAATGCATACCCCACAAAACTAAAAAAAATGGTTTACACCAAAACCAGACCAGTAGCGACCGTAACTCAAAATATAGGTTATCAGCCTTTACTGGCAAGAAGAGAACCCGTGAATATCAAACATCTCACTATTGTCAATAATAATGTCAACGCGCTGATACAGCGATCACTAGTTGTTTACCTTTCCGTACCCGCAGAGGTGTAGCGACCCTTCCCGGCGCCCGGGGACAAACTTTCGATTTGCACATCCCCCTCAAACTTTCGAGTTGCACCCCCCTCAAACTTTCGAGTTGCACCCCCCTCAAACTTTCGAGTTGCACCCCCCTCAAACTTTCGAGTTGCACCCCCCTCAAACTTTCGATTTGCACCCCCCCCCCCTCGAACTTTTGATTTACACACACACCCTGAAACTTTCAATTTGTTTTTCCAACCCATTTTGGCGCCCCCCCCTAAGGTCGGCGCCCGGGGAGATATGTTCCCCCTCGCTACGCCTCTGCGTACCCCTCTGTTTATTCAAAGAATTGATTTCTAATACATATCAAGTTAGATTGAAAATACAATATCTCAAAAACAAAACTGATATAATCTACGTTCTTGGTTATGTGGGTTTTTTTTACAGGTAATTCCCACCGGTTATATTTGGGAGGGAAAGGGTTTTACAGTGATTCTACAACTGTAAGTTTGGTAGTTTCTTTAGCTAAGGCAATAATGTAATGTATGAGAAGTTTGTATACACTTTAGACTGCTTTAAATACTTATTGATGTCGTTAAAAATGCGCAAAGAGAAAAGTACGCACTATAACTTTCTGTGTGTGCCAATTTTTTTTTAATGTGCGCGTTTTTCTGTTTGAGTATTGATCTGTTTGCGCATATTTCCGTGTGTGTGTGTGTATGCAGTTTTCCGTTGCGCATTACCACGTTGCGCATCTTTCTGGGAACTGTATTTTTCATATATGTGGTGCTAATGATCTTATATTAATTGTTTATGTGATATAATAAATTGGACTATATTATAGCATGCAACTAAAACGAATATGGCTGCAAATAAAGCAACAAACTTGGTCGTCAGTGACACAACGGAATGAAAGTATAGCTTAACCTATATAGATTCGTGTCTGTTTTCTCGAAGAATTGTGTAACACATACTGGTAACTCAAGCATAACGTGACGCTAGTTTTGAGGTCGCGGGAACGCAGGGAGTCGATAGCAAACAGGACATTATTTTTTTTAAACCAACAGTCTTAAAAAGACTTACTGTTTCCCTGTAGGACTGAGGTTAGATGTTGAGCTAAGTTGTTTTTAATTGGTTAATTTGCTGAATCTTTTCAAGCTGGAATAATTATTTAAGATTACGGGTTATTTCCATCAGATTTCCAATACCAATTCTAGATAGAATTTAAAATTAATATAAACAAAATGAATATTTCAAACTAACTTTATTGGTAAAATAATGATTTAATATAAACATTTTAATTATATTTAAGGCTGTATAGAAATAAAGTTGCAGAGAACTCAAAATATAAGCAAACGAAAAAAAAAGTGGAAATAAAAAAAAGCTGTTGCGAAAATAAGCTAATTAGTTTACTCTTTTGGTAGATACATTTTCTGTGTTTACACGCAAGAACAATAATCCGCCAACTGACACACATCCCTATACCCGAATGATTCACCTGGTAATAGACCTCGGTAGAGACCGAGGCGTCTCGAGGTGGGGGTGCGGACCGCACCGGGTGACACCCGACCTAGCGACGCCACTGGGTAGTTTTACGTTTTAGATATGCGAAAATGGAAATACATTAATTTATTTTCGTGAGGAATTTATACCCAAGTAGCGACACAAAAACTTTTAACTTAGATATTATTATTTTAATATTTACGTGAATAGAACAAAAAAAAAAAACCTCACATGCACAATTATATTCCCTCAAACATTGTAATTAAGTCTATTATTTTGAATGACAATAATATACAAACATTTACTATATTTAGTTACATCGAATCACAATTTAGTAATCAACAAAAATTCTATCATACAAAAACTCATCCATATTTGGTGTCAGCTGCCATAATGGAACTTCGAGAATATTATCTTCACCAATCGCGTTAATTAAATCCACATTTAGCTGTACGTTTCTTTCATAAAGTAGAAGCACCTTTCCCGGGTTGTCATGTGACATACTGTTCAATACCAGTGTGAAGAGCATCTGGAAATTATTGTCGTGAAAAAACTCAACAGTTACAACTAGAATTACACGCCAGGTGGCGTTGATCTCAGCAAAGAAATCTTCATATTCTGGACGCCCTGGCTCAAGATCTCTGGAGTCTCGAGTGTTTAGAAAAAAAGTTTGTTTTAAGTAGTTGCTTAAAACTGTAACAAAACCTTCATTGGGAGATGAAACTATAAATACGTGGTTTTGAAAATCTGTTAATCTCCTACGTGGTACAGTACCAAGTATTTGAGCAACGTAAGCCACAATGTACAGCTTACACCGCATGACGACAAAAGACCCCAAAAATATTATAGCGATGATGCACAAAAAAACAGCAGAGACATAAAGATATTGCTGACCCATACACTGACGCCAAAATGTACCAACATTCAAATGTTTATCTAGATGAGAATACAAACCAGATTCGTTGACACACACCAATTTGGAATCAAAATCTATATCTACATTTGTTGTAAGAATCCATTTGATGAAATAGAAGTTCTCACAACCACATGATAAAACGTTTCCGGCCAATCTCAAACTTAAATTTCCATTTCTCTCAGCCAGTGCATCAAGTTCCATTGTTACTTTTTCATTTAATGTCGAAATAGCATTTTCACTAAGATCGAGAACCTTCAAGTTTGGCGTCAGCTTAAGATCGAAAGGAATTTCAGTAAACCTGTTTGTTGCCAAATAAAGTTCTGTCATTTGTTGGTTAGTAGAAAAAGTATTTTGTGCGAGAAAACTCAGAGAATTTAAAGATAAATCTAGACGCTTCAACAATTTTAAATTCTTAAAAATTCTTAAGCTGTTAGATTGAAAACTATTTAAGTCAAATCTGCAATTTGCCAAAGCTAAATTTTCGACAGCTGAAAAGGAGTCTAAAAATGTGGGAGAAAAATCCGAGAAATCGTTTCCTGAAGATAACAATGTTTTGAGTCCCGTTAAACCTTGAATCTTTCCCGTAGGATATATAAATCCATTATCAGTGAGATCAAGGTATTCTAAATTTTCAGAACTAACAAAAGATATATTAACATTTAGCCCAGCGTCATTTATTAAATTCCGAATGCATAAATATTTTATTGATCTGGCTCCATAAAATATAAAACCTCTTAATTTCGTGTTGTTATTATTCATGGCAATCATTTCTCCTCTCTCAATGTTAATGTCATATTGTGTTGTGCTGTCATTATTTTTAGAAATAATTACATGTTGGTTTTGCTGTGTCTTTAATTGGTGTAATAGTTTATTTTTAGACACATATTTGTCGGGTATTTTAAACTTACTTGATCCTGTCGCGTCTTCTGAAACACCATAAAAATATACATTCTCTAAGCTTCTTAAAGAAAATAATCTAAAAAAAGCTATTTTACTTCCCATCCACCGATTTTCTGACAGGTCCAAATATTTCAGACACGAATGCCAAGTTTCACTAATTAAAGCGGTTTGTTCCAAAATGAAGAGAAAAGAATGGACGAATTCAAATCTACGGACACAAATTTGTAGAAGGTACTTCATTTTCTCTAAATCGAGAACACCATCATTAATTGAGTTACTAGAAATTTCCCCAGGGGGATTTCCAAAAACTCTATAAAATCTGACCATAGACATGTTCCTTCCTACTAGCGGTTGAAGGATATGCAAGACATGTTTTTTTGCGACATTTTCACTACTGCTGAACGTAAAGCTATCTAACAAAGGCAAATAGGCGAGGGCCATGTTGTTAAAATTAGAGCTGACGCCATCTATTGCTAATTGCCTCAAATGATTTAAGTTTTTAAAAGTACTTTCAATAATGTAATATGAACAAACAGTCAGAAAAAAATTGGTGAGTTTATCAAGTTTTTTAAACTCTGGTCCAAAGTTGACCGTTTCTCCTACACTGTCTATAGACAGAGTGGTCAGATTTTTTAGTGGACAAAGAAAACATGAGGGGTATTCACTCTTGATGTAATCTTGGTCTTGTATCAGATAGAGTTCCTTTAAATTAATGAGTGGAGAAAATATGCCGTCTGGATAGCTGTTGTTATCAAACTCCAGAGCATTATACTCTAGGTTTAGGACTTCCAGATTCGTAAGGCCGGAAAATGCATTTGTATGCATCGTATATATTTTATTATTACTCAAACTTAACAAACGTAAGTTTGTTATGTTTTTAAACGTGTCGTTTTCTAATTCAGTCAAAAGACTGTAATCCAAGAAAATAACTGTTGTATTTAATGGGAACCAACTTGAATTAATACGATCCAATGAAAGACTTGTACAGTTTATGGTGACGTCCAGTATGCTATTTGTCTGCTGACAGGGTGTGTTCGTCAATTTGAAAGTAGGACCTGTACTGTCGTGGTACGTCTGAAACTGTCTGATACTTTCTGCTTGTAGCTCTCTAACACAGAAGAGGCAGAATAGAATCACCACAGCAACCGTACCTTTCATCATGGGCGTTTTATTGTTGTGAACGTATCTGTTTAAAAAATAATTTGTAATGATATTATTTGCAGTTACACAGTTAAAGCGTAGTTGTGTGTGCTTGTTGACGGAAGGGTTGAGGGAGTTTAATCATGGATCACAATATGATACCTATCGTACTTATGTGTGGTTTACAATATTTTTTAAAAAATTGGGCTTATAGTTAAGCTGAAAAAAGAGGTTAACCAAAAACTTCTTTAAAAACAAAAGATTTATATTAATAACTAGCATATTTTGTGCACGATGATTCTAAAGAAAATAAACGAAACATATATCCGAGAGATAAATACTGGAATAATATTATGAAAACAATAAACCTTATAAACATTATGTTTTATTCTGAGAAAGCTTTCGATTGCATATTACAGATATATTTAAGTAGAGAGTAACCAGACAAGGATGTATTCTGTTCTTACTGCTTTTAGACCGTATAATTGAGATATAACACAACCTACAGAAAAATCAAGATAGACACTAGCAACCAGCCTAGTGGACGCAGTTGACTGCTATCCCCTAAGTCTCGAGTACACCTAGCTCCGATGGGTACCTAACTCACATCAAGTAAAGACAGCTGGGCATAGTACTGACCACAGTATCACTTCATATGCCGAGGTCATAGAAACAAGTGAACTTTACTTCCCTTGCTCCATACATCGTCAGATTTGAAAGGGGACTTTACTTTTACTTTAGCAGCTACAATCTACTGAATATACTGCTAGTAATAATAAACTATAAAAAAACTAAACGGAATTTTGGAACTGACCAGAAGGTTGACAAAGACATACAATCATATGTGTCTGACGACCGCGTTATGCGTCCTGCTTACTGACGGGAACGACGGTGTGTACTTTTAAAATAGTATTTTAAACGTTTTTGAGTGTTTAATTATTATGCTTTTGAATACAAGACATTATGCATTTTAAAGAGGGCATAAAATTAACTAACAATTACCACTAAAAAAATAAAAGCCATATTTAGTGTCTGCTTATTAAATATCTATAATCCAAAAAATGACATTCACGTAGGCCTACCTGTTTAAAATTTAAGACCACTGTTATTTTTTAAAATTAACCAATGCTAAATGACTTAGATAACTACAATGTGTGGTCAAACAGCAATGTGTGGTCAGTTTGCGACTGAGATTTTCTCTCCAGAAGTAGCAGGCAAATGATCAGCCAGTTGTTTTTAAACTCCTTTGTTCATAATGACAGATTGTCCGAGGTTGTCTAAGTACACGTCACGGTCTACTACACCGTCGTTTAAAGAATGCAAATTGTTAACTAGTCACCTGGTAGGCATTGCTCTAGCTGTGCTGTTTACAAAACTTACGCAACATGCTGTAACTGATCTATCCACAGTTTTAAAGAAACTACCCTGCTGTATTCATTCTGTTTATCAACGTGTAACAACGAAAAATATCAATTGATCCTCACGACAGCGACCAATGTAAATTATGCAATGTTTTTTAGCGCAATTTCCATTCTGGAGAATTGCGTTTATTAACTCGTCATTTCTGGGAATGGATGGATGGATGAATGAATGGATGAATGTGTGTCCGGGCTTTAAGTCGTATCTCCTCCTCAACGAAGCAATATCGATGACTAGTTCCAAAAGCAATTATGTTAAGCAAGTTACGAGAATGAGCATAGGCCATAAAAATTCCGGGTTTCTTTCATGTATTTCCCGTAAAAGCCAAAAAACCTCGAAAAAATGCAGTTTTTGGCCCATATCTCGGCAACCAGACCACTTAGCGACTTGAAACATGTACCAATCGATTCCTGCCATAATTTAGAACAATATTGCCGAAGAAAGTTTTCAAAAATATCCTCTCGTTCGGTCACAAATTTTAAAATTACATAAACACCTAAAAACCGATCGCTCTTCTAGCTTGAACGCACCCCATCATTATACGTCAGAGCTATTTTTAGATAACATAAGGAAATTGCGCATAAATGTCACTAGACTTTTTTAATTAACTTGCGCGCCTACTGAACGTGATGGCGCAGCCATGGAACGCGATGACGCATCTATTGAACGTGATGACGCGTGTGGTGTGGTTGTATATACATGCCGGAAGTAGAGATCTATCATCTTAATGATTATCATGTTGATAATCAAGTTCAACTAACCAATGGTTTTAATAACCCTGCTCTTGATTTCAAGGTGCTTAGTTTAGTTAGTAGTTAGGTTTATTTAATAAAAAACGTTTTAATAACTAACCAATGGTTTTACTAACCCTGCTCTTGATTTACGCTACGACAGAGCTATTTTTAGATAACATAAGGAAATTGCGCTAAAATTGTCACTAGACTTTTTAATTAACTTGTTTTTTAATTTATAGCATTGTTTTAAATAGGACTCTGAAGCAATGGCGTCATTAGGTCAAATTTCAACTAGCGAGGTAGATTATGTGTCAACCCCTGACACACAGAACCTAAAAGTTTGAATGGCCCACTGGGGTTTCTTTGTCTAGTCCAGGATCTCTGCCTACAGGGGCAAGAAGGTGAAGTGCACATGAAGATAAATAGCTTCTCCTTTTATAACAGAATAAGATAAAATCGGTAGGCCTATATCTATCAACAGCTAACATAATATATATATATATATATATATATATATATATATATATATATATATATATATATATATATATATGCATTAATATTGTATAATCATATAGTAGAAACATAATTGTTTATCTGTAAAACAATCTTTTTGCTGTACTCTACCTTCACTTGTCCGGTTTTCATCCCGACTCCTAAATCTACCGCAAAGATCCAAGAAAATGTAAAATTAACCTTTGTCAGACAGGTAAATAAGATAATTCTACTATTGATTTCATTATTACAGAAACTCACAGTTATTTTGTAATTGTCCAGGCATAGTATTTGGCAAAGCAAAAAATTAATAGTGACTTGAGATGTTAGATTACACGATCAAGCAATGTTGTAAGTCAGACCAAGTATTTGGTTGTTTTTTATCGATGTGCTGATGTTCATCGCGTTTGATCGAATACATGAAGGCATGTGTTGAGAAGCATCGATGTCTATAAGAAATAAATAAATAAATGTGACAAGAAATAACATCTTAGTTGTGATCTCCACGTTTAACTCATGTCAATGTCTTTAAGACCACACTGTGCGGGCGCCCTTTGTACCAACCGTGTTGGGTCACACCAAAATAAATTATTAGAGGTTAAATTAAATTTTTTTTAATCATCTATTTATCTGTACATAGTAACAACAAGCTACTTCTCACTGCCAACCGTGATTTCCAACGCCATCCGTATTCCTCGTTACACAACTCCGTCCTACCGTGCACAACACACCTACTGTCACTTAAATAGTTGCTTCCCTTGTTACCCTTGTTAACTACGTACAGCAACAAACACGTCAACACACCCGACCTCGAGCAATACTACCGTACCACACACACTCAGTGATCCGTCCCACGTACACATCTTTTATACACATCCCCACACACACTCAGTGATCTGTCCCACGTACACATCTTTTATACACATCCCCACACACACTCAGTGATCCGTCCCACGTACACATCTTTTATACACATCCCCACACACACCATTCAATTACTAGCTCTTATTAATGTGAAGAAGGCAACAATACGATACTTTACTTGATATTTATTTGAACTCGTGGTAAGCGCTACATTTTAAAATTTTGCTTTGCCAACATCTTGAAGTTTAAAAACAAAATGTAACACCATCTTTATCAAAATCTCTAATTTTCAATATATTACGTAGCTTTTAAACTAGTATAATGTTAATGGCATAATAATGTTTTGCTAACCCTCGATGAAGTTTATTATGTTCCAGATAGGATACACCCTTACTTTTTTCCGACACACTTAAAGAGAGGGGACTGATGAAAGTAGATATTTTATATACTCTATATAAATATGTAATAATAATAATGATTTTAATAATAATAAAAATAAAAATAAGAAAATAATGATAATATAATAAAGATAATAAATATAATTATAATAGTAATAATATTAATAAGAATAAAAATAAGAAGATTAAGAAGAGGAATAGAAATAAGAATAGGGATAAGAATAAACTATATTTTGAACGTTTACAATGGTAAGCCTTTTTTTTCACTTTGGCCTTTATTAAA